TAATCCTGCATACACGAAGCGGTAGTATCTGAATTGGGACCTTCGCAGTTTTCATCCGACACACCAGACTCAGCGACGAATCAGCAAAGCGCGCATGCAAAATTGCACATATGTGAGGCGTGTCCTGGATTGGTCTAGGGCGCTTTGGATAGTTTGCCACTGTCGCACGTCTGCATGGAAACTGCTTGGAGACGATGTAGGCATGTCATTCGTACCTCCCGCTCCCGCATCAGGTTGTACGACGAAGACCGGTGAACATGTCTTCAGTGCCTCAGAACATGTTTCGGTTCTGTGTCGAGTTGGTTGCATCACCCAAGGCGTGAGCTCACAGCAGCCATAGGCTTTAGAAGATACATCATCCGCATATACATAAATCGATAAACCAGAAAAAAGGGCGCTGTCTCTAACTGTCAACCCTGACCTCGGGCATGTGCTCGATGTCCACGTCGACTCGGGCTTGGATCTATATCGCAACGTCCGCGAATACGAAAAAGATCACGTTGAGTGTTCGTATGCATTGACAGGCTTGTGTGGTCGAGGCACTGAAGTCGACATGCTTACACGGCTGACCCTTGAACCCGTTCAGGCATCAGTGCTCAGACTCATACTGTAAACCTGACCGTCCTCAGCTGGACCATGTGGAGCGGTAAGAAGGGCAGCGGCAAAGGCAAAGGGTCCAAGGGCAAGACTCCGGCTTGGGCTTCGGACGGTTGGGCGTCCTCGTGGTCGGCCTACAACGAACCTTGGAATGCCAATCGAGAGTCGCCTCAGGAATCTTATGCCTGGGGGTCTTGGGGCAGCGATGGCAAGGGAGGCAAAGACGACGGCAAGGGCAAGACCAAAGAGTATGTGCCTCGGCTCGAGGGACGCTACGCCTTGGCGAAGGCCGTGCTGCGTCCATACGCGGACGAGCATGGCAAGGCCGTCTACGCTAGCACCTCTGTCAAGGACCTGTTCGGCAAGGACAGCATGCGTCAAGTCCTGGACTCGCGCAACTGCGAGCTAGTTCGACGCCCTTCTGTAGGTCTCTCCACCATATCCGGATCGGCGCGAGCCCTCTCCAATTGTCTAGACACCTACTTGGAGGAAGGCGAAGGAACGCCCTCTGCGGTGTTGGGGCGATTTGCGGAGTTCTTCCAGACTGCTGAAGCAAAAGCCTTCATTGCAGCTTGCGAGGTTTTGGTGAAAGAGCGCACCTCGGAGACGAGCAAGGCTAAGCTGGAGGATGCGCTCCAGACATGGTGTATGTTCTACCGCACACACAAGGCTGTGATTTCCAAGATGCTTCCAGAGGTTCTCGCCTTTGTGAGCACAGTCTACCTTGGAGGCATCCAAATGCTCGAGGCTGTGACCATGTGCAACGCCCTCTCCAATTGGGCGCACAAGATACCGACTACGACGTCGAATGCTGCCACGCTGGGCTCGTGGCAATCCTCCCCGAAAGACCTCGGCCTCATGAAGAAATTCTTGATGGAATCGTTGCGCCAGAGACACGAGGACAGCGCAGGTTGGCATCGTAAGGGCCTTCAAGGAGGCGACAGCGACGACGAAGAGGAAGCCTGGGGCGTCAAGATGTCAAAAAGGCCCGCGCCCAGTTCTTCGGAGTCCTCAAACAGCTCGGAGAAGGCGCGCAAGAAAGCCAAGAAGGAAGCAAAGAAGCATGCCAAGAAGGAGCGAAAGACGGCGGAGCGCGAGAAGAAAGAGCCTGAGCGAGAGGGTGCGACTGGAGCGGAACTTGGTCGGGAGGACGCCTCGGCCGTGGAGGAAGAGAAGTGACACTCTCGAATGCGCGCCAGCCGCCGGCTGCACAGCAGCAAGCATTGCCCTACCCTTACTAGCCAGTGCTCCTTGGTGGCTCCACTCTTTGTGGTCTCGTGTTCATAGGTAGCCGGGGTAGACTCAAGCCTAAAGTCGCAAACTAATGCGTCCCATGCGTATTCTCATCGTAAGCCCATCAGAGCACCGGCGCTGTCACCTGCTGCACTTTCTTTGTTCTTTGCGGAGCGGGCCCTGCCCCCGCAGAGACCTACCTGCCCATGCCCAGAAAACGTTTGAGCGTGCCAGACTTTCAGATCATGATTGCATGTGTGTGTGGAGCAGACGTTGCCTGTCTCGACGAGCTTCAGCCGCTCTCCTTGTGAGATGTTGTAGTGCTGCAGCATACATTGACAGGCTAGCCTTGGCAGTGCGGTCATGTTCCATGAAGCAGGTCGAACATCTGCTGTGTTCCGATTTCCATCAACCAGTGTCTGAAAGGCGCACTCATGGCGATGATTCTGGTCGTCCTGGCGGTGTTCGTGGTGCGCGGGGCTAAGCCGTCGTCTTCTCCTGGCACGCGCGTAGGAATTCCGTCATTGCAGCAACCTGAGGCGCGCTTGGACTGCGGGCAACGCTCAGCTCACGCAGCTGGATCCAACCTCTTCGTCCTCTTCATCATCCTCCTCCGGGCATCCTGCGTCGTTGATGTGTTCTTTTTTAAGTATATACACACCATCTTGTCTGGCAGGACTTCGAGCTCAAGCGAGGTGCCTACGCCCAAGGTCCGGCGTCGCATGCAGCGCAGACACGCACCGCAGACGAGCGGGGGCTGTCAACAACAATCTGACTAGGAGAACGGACTTGCAGATCGAGAGTCCTCGGCCCACGACATTCGCCATGAAACGGTTCGAGGCGTGCCATCTTCCTCTGCTTCGAGGCACTCTGTCGCGCTTGCTCGTTCGTTGTGATGGAGAGAGTCTTGCGTTGTCGAGCAGGACCCTCAATGTGAACGAAGTGACGACCTCGAAAGCCCGCGTTGAACCATCCGCCGAGAGGCCGCATCCTTTTAGAAGCTACACATGCAGTGAGAAATTGGCGAGCGCGCGCGCGCGATGACCCTTTGACTGCTCAGGACGCCGGCGCGTCGAAGACCCCGCGCTCGAAAGAATGACAGAGGCGTGCATCTGTGGCGTGTGCCAGGCGGTGAAGAAGAATGCAGAGGACATCGCGATCTGCCTTGCGTGCTCGCGCTGGATGGCTCCGGCGGTCCGGGTGCGGCGAACGAGTCCGGCTACTGTGTTTTCTGTAGCAGTGTGCGTTTTGAGCAATTGTCGTGGCTGCGTGATGGCCGCGTCGTGACAAGAGCCCTGGGATGCCTTTCGGAAGCTAGCAGAAGAGAGGCTCTCCGATTAATTGAGGTACATGGGGGCAAGAACATGGCAGCGGACTTCGAGAAACGTGTGGCACGTGCTCTGCACCGGAAGGACCCGGCACGCGCCAAGCGACGTGCCCGGGGTAGATACAACAAGAACCAAAATGTCCGAGGCAGGAGGTGCAAGGAGGAGGTACGCCGGAGCATGGAAGGCTTCGACAAGGAGACGGATTGTTGGGGCATCGCCTCGGTGGCGAAAAGTCGGAAGACCGATCGCAAAGGAGATGCTACGAGAAGCTGTGACGAGAAGCTGGCTGTCTCGGGCATCCGAGTCAGGAAAAAGCTCGCGCCTACTACGTCCTGGGGCGTGAGAACAGTGAGAACCTCGAGGAAGTCTCGCAAGTCCGACAAATCCCGAGACACATCTAGCACGGGTGAAAGCGCGCGTGCAACAGGAGAGGACAGGCCTCCAGCTGGTGGAACAGACCGGGAGGAGGCGTCCTGAGCGCCGTCGCTCACCTGCCGCATTTTCGTTGTTCTTTGCGGAGCGGGCCCTGCCCCCGCAGAGACCGTACTACCTGCCCATGCCCAGAAAACGTTTGAGCGTGCCAGACTTTCAGATCATGACTGCATGTGTGTGTGGAGCAGACGTTGCCTGTCTCGACGTGCCATTTCTACCATGGTGAGTTCGACACGTGATGCGGCTACAGCAGTCGGAGCCACGTGTGTTTGCCGAGACGAGGTTACCTGTTACTTCGAGCTCTCAACGCTTGATCTTTGTAGATCCCCGCAGCTCCTCTTCTCAAGTCAGCGTCGACAGCTCGGTTATTCGTTTCAGGGATGGATCGAGCGCATCTGCTGCGCCCGCTCTCACCCAGCTACTGTCTGTCAGGCGCACTCATGGCGATGATTCTCATCGTCCTTCCAGCATATGTGGTGCCTGGGGCTCAGTCGATCGATTCCCACGAACAGCATCGGCGAATCAATCAATGACATGCCTAAGGACAACAGTCGCAGTCCTCACAAGTGAGGAGCACCGCAACTTGCTGCAGGCTGGCTCCTTGAGCAGGCCTGGCCAGGCATGGCTGTCTACTCTCGCGTGTTCGTCTTTCAGGCCTTGCGCGACCTCGATGAACAGGAAGGCCACACGGATGCCAGGCTTGCTGCAAGGATTGCCAGGCTCGCGTGCGGTGCTCGGCTCGCCGTTGTTCTAAAAATCAGGTCGCGAGTTGCTGTGTAGGGTTGCAGCTACAAGGAACCACATCCCGGACGACGCGTGCGACGTCGCCACCGCACCGGGCTGGCCGCCTTCCTGCCTTGCTCTTTCGTGCTTTCCGTGTCTCGCTCTCTCTCCTTGCTCTGTAACTTTCCAGGTTCTTGATGCTTGATGTGAGGAGTGAGGCCTCGCCGCCTTCACCCTTTTCTTTCGAAGACAGGCCAGGCCAGACGCCACGCTTCGCTGCAGAAGGGCCAAACATCTAGCCGATGTCGTTTTCGAGCGACATGCGTCCGATGCCTCGGGCATGTGACTGAGGTTTCGAATCATCGCCGTCAGTGATGAGGAGTCGTTAGCCCGGAAAATGTCGCAGAGACACGTTGATCATGCTCAAGAGCTGTGTACCACACTCAGAGACAGCACACTGTCCTCAGGTCATGCAACGATTCTCAAAGAGACGGTGATCCGAAGGATGCGTGGCCGGGCTCTTATAATCAACGATTGTAGAAGCTTGAACGGCTTGAACGCATAACCAATACTATACTAAGGGGTATTCCCGACCCTGTCGGTGCATCACAGCGCCAGCCTTAGCAGAACCATGCGTAATCTTTGTGGCCGACATGTGGCTTTGCGCATAGGTCCGCATCGGATGACATGGAGGAAAACGCTGACCTTGTCTTGGACGTCGAGCAACAGGCCTTGACGGCGCGGCTAGCCGCCATGTCCGAAACGGACCCGGCGAGATTCCATGCATGTTTGCAAGAGATCGAGGAGGTTCTGGGATTAAGCGAAGTCGTAAAGCAACTCGAGCTTCTCAGCATCGCTTCCTCTTCGGCGGTCGACAACCTACTCCATGAAGAACTTTCACACGGAGGCTCAAAGGACGGCGCCGGGAAGATTGACGCTGACAACGTCGTCGACGACGGTGCAAGCGAACCCCAAGTCCAATGGGCTTTGAAAATCGGGCCACACTGGTGCAACAAGATCCTCTACGAGGGCAAGGAATGGGAAATTCGCGGTACGCATTGTCGAAAACACCTCGGGGAGCGCATCGGGCTGGCGCCATCTGGCAAAAACGCGCTTGTCGGAGAGGCTACCATTCGAGAATCTAGAGCCGTTTCCATGAAAGACTTGGAAGAGGCACGGCATCTGCATCACATCCAGAATGTCTGCGCGATTCCTTACGCTAAGCCATATGCGTGGATCCTTGAAGGCGTGCGTGCCTACGACCAACCCGTGCCGTACCATCACCCTCCTGGCTGCGTCAACTGGATTCCGCTGCGCCCGCCTACAGGGCCTACAGAGCGAGAGACTCCGGCCAGACGGCCTGCAAGATGCGCGGCTCCCGTGCACGCTTGGCCGCAAATGCTGGAGCGTAGGCAGAGCGGAATCGTGCAAAGGCCGGAGCATGAGATGCGGTACATCCACGGAGAACGAGAACGGATTCGGCGCCTGTCCAAGAAGTTCCCCGCCGTGTACAAGGAAAAAGTTCGACCCGAGCAGTCCTGGATGACTCAGAGAGCTCGTGCTTTTCGAACTTGGTGTGCGACCTCTTCGTGGAGAATGTGCAAGTGCTGCGGCCGTATGGTGCCCGAACCGTACAAAGCAACACACGCACGTGGCACTGCCCGCAGGGATGGCGCTTTGCCCGCGTGCAAATACTGCCGATCCGACGGCAACGTCGGGTATTGGGCTCCCGACAAGAATGATGTACCTCGCAGATTGCGAAGTTTGCCTGTTGAGGTAATCGAGGCCCTCAGGCCCTTTCATCTGCACAGGGGCGGCGACTGTCGCGCGCGGCACGGATACGAGGTGCACTTGGACATGCTTCGCTTTTCCTTCAAGACGACGTCCGTGGAGATGGCCTTGTCGCGCTTGCCTCGACGGGCGCGCAAGAAGGGCGAGAGGGCGTTGGAGCACCTGCTTAGGTCAGACCTGTCGTCGTACAAAGCTTTTTGGCGTCTGCACCACAAATTCTTGGAGAAGCGGAGGCGACAGATAGAAAGAGGAGAAATCGGGCCTGGAGCCCCCGTGAAGCGCCTGCCGGTAAGCTTCATCGAGACCGTAGGGCTGGAGTGCTGCCTGTGGCCACACTTATATTGGCGGACGGACATGACTGAGACCCACACTCGCTTCATGGACGCCCGAAGGGCGAAGCGTCGGCGCCGCGCGGGCCCTTGGGAAAGCTCCGAGTCCGACTGCGGGGGCGATGCAGAGCACAGGCGCCACAGCGCCAAGGCCAGCTTTCTCGCCAAGGCCCACTCCTGCATCGTCGGGTACAACAGCGACCCTGCTCTGCTGCAGTTTGTGTACGACTTGTGGCTCTTCACCACAGTGGGTGGAGCGCGGCACTCGTCCCAAAGCACCAGCATTCGAGAAGCTTTGGCATCCAAGCCGTACTCGCCAGAGTTATGGCGAGGCTACCACGCAGCTTTGGTGGATCTCCAGAGGCAGCTAGGCTGGCCGCAGCTGTTCATAACGATAGCACCCTACGAGTGGAGCTTTCCCTATCATGCCTGGCTTGAAGACGAGCTGGCCAAGAGTTTGCAAGCCCGCCTGCACATGCCGGTAGCTGAAACCCTTCACCTAGCGCATGTGCTCACGCAAACTGTGAAAGGCCTTCTGACAGGCAGCAACGAAGGTATGCAAGGGGAACAAAACCATGTCTTCTCGACGTCCTCGCACGGAGGCGTGCGCAAGTGGGTGGCACGTCTAGAGTTCCAGGATGGCAAAAGAAAACGGGGGCAGCACAGGGACCCTCAGACCTATCACGGCCGAGGGACACTTCATGTGCACATTCTGCTGTGGCTCGAGAACATGCAGGCCATGAATCTTTCCAAGGACATCCGAGCAGACATCCCCGACGCATCGGAACCGGAACTGCGAGATCTGGTTCTGGAGTCGCAACTGGACTGGACGAGCAGCGGCTGGCCCATCCGAAAGGAGCCCACGAGGGTGTCGGAAGACTCCGGGCTGCTCGAGCTTCGGCATCCGCAAGATGCGCATGACCGGCACTGTCGCGCCTATCTCACGGATGTGCTCGCCGCCTTACACTGTCACGTGGACGTCGTAGCTTCCGACGGCCGAGCCATGATCCTCAAGTATTGCGCCAGTCCCTTGGAGGCAGGCAGCTGTGAGAAGGAACGTAGCGTGAGAGTCATGTAGTCGCCAACATGTGCACAGCCGAGGCTATCTTCCCAAGTTTTCAGGCTCTTTCGCCCAGGAGCTACTCAACGATCAAGCGAGCGGCTTCGCTTTGGCGAGACGCATTCTGGCCGACTATCATCCACTGCAACCTGAAATGGTCCTACAGCTGGCAGCCCAACAACATCCACAATTCTTGTGTCCGGCAGTCGTCCGCAAATTTGTCGTGCCCGTACCGTGGAAAAAAGACACAGCGGAGGTGGTCCGCAATTACATGACCTGCACATGGAGGCGCAAGAGCATGAGTCTCCTCGAGTACCTGCGAGTCTCCGGCTCGGGGGGACAGATTGCCCAGCGCTACCGCCGCCTGCACAAGGCTCGCAAGGTGAAGAAACCTCTCACGCAGTGGATCAACACCTGCGTTGCGGAGGGAGAAATCTTGGTCGCGTGCATCATGTACTCGCACACAAACGACCTCCACTTCGGGCAGTGGCTGCTGCTGAACGTGCCCTTCAAAGACGTCTCTGACCTTTGGGACGACCGAGTTGCCGGACTCCCGGAAGAGTTGCGTTACTTGGGCCTATGTCTCCTGCACCGACCAGACTTCTGGCGGCACCCACATCGAATCATGGCAGACTTGCAGTTAGAGGCCAGGACAGACTTGTACATTACCAATGTGCTGGAGGTAATACGTGCTCGAACCGAGCTCATCGATGCGTTCTTTTCCGGTGAAATCCAGGAACCGGCACGGCCGCCAACAACATCGCAGGCAGTCAACGTTAACGTGCCTCCGCGTTTTGAGAAGTTGGCAGCCGAGCAGCAGCTTGTGGTGCGGTCTATCGGCGAGAGGGTCGCTATCGCGCTTCGGTGCAAATGGCCAGAGGACGCCGTGGAGGAGTCGTGGTGGCGCTACCTGGATGCGCAGGCTGCATGTGCCGAGACGCGTGTCACGGCTATCCTTGGCCCCGCCGGCAGTGGCAAGAGCACGGCCGTGCAACTGGCCATCCGCCGAGCGGTGCAAGCCGGAGCACACGTGGGCGTTGCCTGCCCCACTGGACTTCTTGCGTCCAAGTACAAGATCGACAACCCGGACCTGGATGTGGACACCGTGCATGGGATGTTCGCGCTGCATAAGGAGGAAGTGAACACCTTGGAGATGATGAGCCTTTACGATCTTGTAGTGATTGACGAAATCGGACAGTTGCCTCTGTGGATCTTTGAGCGCCTTGTGCGGCTGTGGGACGCTTCAGATCGCCGTCCCGCATTAATACTGGTCGGGGATTTCTGCCAGCTGAGAGGCTCGGATGGAACCACGGCTCGACAAAGCGCGCGTTGGCGTGAGGTAGCCAAGATCCATCTTCACACTATGCGACGCTGCAAGTGCCCACAGCTGCGCTGGAAGTTGGAGCTCCTCCGCAGCGCCACTCCTTCCGGTCGCCAGCTACGCAGGATTCTGAAAAAGCACAGTGCTTGTTGCTCGGGGAACAACATGCCAACACTAGAGAACATGGCGCAGATCCTACGAGAAACTCCTCGGACGCAGTTCGTGACCATCTCGCGACGTGGGTCCGCTCGTCTGAACCAGCTGGCGCTTCGGGTACTCTTCGGTGACTCGCACCCCTTGGGCTACATGCTGACTGATCCGGAAGAGAACAGCAATAACTTCCTTGGTCAGTCGAGGATCGACGCGGCACCTCTCCGGATGGCCATGTATGCCGGCATGCGCGTGATGATCACCAAGAATGAGGACAAAGCGCACGGGTTCGTAAACGGCATGGGCGGAGTGGTGCAGCGGCTGCGCGCGAGCGGCGTCCAGGTCCTCCTCGACAACGGCAAGATCGTGCTGGTCCACGCGGTCACCCAGGACTACGAGCTCGCGGACGGGTCTGTGAGAAGAGTTACGGCGTTACCTCTGAGACTCGGGTATAGCAGCACCCTGCACAAGATTCAGGGGGCCACCTTAGATCACGTGACGTTGTGGCTGGATGTGCCTTTTATCCGAGGGGCGGCCTACGTAGCCTTATCTCGGGTGCGAGAGGACGCCAATTGGCGGTTCCTCGGACGCATACAGACCAGGCACTGCCTGCCCGCCGCGTGCGACTGAGGCAGCTTTCACAATCTTATCTCTATGCGGAGCGGGCCTCGCCCCCGCAGATGCCCAGCGAGAAACCATCTGCAGGCATGAAAAGCCTCGCTTTCATGGCGTCGCACCTCGTTGCCAGTCTTGGTTCAGTCAGAGCCACGTACGCAGATTATCCCTGAAGGTCGAGAATGAAGGAGATGCGCCAAAACGTTTTACAAGAACTGCAGCCTCTTTCGGTCCAACCAAACGCTTTAATTGCAATATCTCACTTTTGGAATGCAAGTACGTTAAAGTCTATATGTATACATATATATATATATATATACGTATAAAGTATAATCGTACAAAGTCGGAGAACAGAGGCCCGCGAGCATGTGCCGCACACTCGCTGAGGTCGGGGGGCCATGTGGTCGTCCTCGTCGGCACGGTCGTCACGAAATGCTCACAGCAAGATGACAGCAAGGAAATGTGCTCACAGCAAAATAACAACAAGAAAATGCTCACAGCAGCACTATAGCAAGGAAATGCTCACAGGAAAGGCTCACAGCAGGATGGCAGCCAGGAAATGCTCACAGCAGGATGGCAGCAAGGAAATGGCAGCAAGGAAATGACGTTTATAGTTCAGGCGCTAATCTATAAAGAGTGGCTCCTAAACTATAGACGTTTATAGTTTGGGCGCTAATCTATAAAGAGTGGCTCCTAAACTATAGACGTTTATAGTTTAGGCGCTAAACTGTAAAGAGGGGCTCCTATACAGTGAACGTTTATAGTTTAGGCGCTAAACTATAAAGAGGGGCTTCTAAACTATAGACGTTTATAGTTTAGGCGCTAAACTATAAAGAGTGGCTCCTAATCTATAGACGTTTATAGTTCAGGCGCTAAACTATAAAGAGGTGCTCCTGAACTGTAAACGTTTATAGTTTAGGCGCTAAACTATAAAGAATGGCTCCGAAACTAAAGACGTTTATAGTTTAGGCGCTAAACTATAAAGAGGGGATCCGAAACTATAGACGTTTATAGTTTCGGCGCTAAACTATAAAGAGGGGCTCCTAAACTGTAAACGTTTATAGTTTAGGCGCTAAACTATAAAGAATGGCTCCGAAACTATAGACGTTTATAGTTTAGGCGCTAAACTATAAAGAGGGGCTCTTAACCTATAGACGTTTATAGTTTCGGCGCTAAACTATAAAGCCTGACTCCTAAACTATAGACGTTTATTGTTTAGCCGCTAAACTAGAAAGGTTGGCTCCCAAACTATAGAAACGTTTATAGTTTAGGACCAGCCGTGGGGGGTCCCCCAGGATTGGCCTGGACCGAGCTTCAAAATGCGATTTTTTAGTACAGAAATCGATGCCGGAAATGCTGCCTTCAACGTTTATAGTTTAGGCGCTAAACTATAAAGAATGGCTCCGAAACTATAGACGTTTATAGCTTAGGCGCTAAACTATAAAGAGGGGCTCTTAAACTATAGACGTTTATAGTTTCGGCGCTAAACTATAAAGCCTGACTCCTAAACTATAGACGTTTATTGTTTAGCCGCTAAACTAGAAAGGTTGGCTCCCAAACTATAGAAACGTTTATAGTTTAGGACCAGCCGTGGGGGGGTCCCCCAGGATTGGCCTGGACCGAGCTTCAAAATGCGATTTTTTAGTACAGAAATCGATGCCGGAAATGCTGCCTCCAATTTCTGGATTTTGCCCTAAACTCTAGAGCCCCAAACTCTAGAGCCTAAACTATAAACGTTTATAGTTTCGGCGCTAAACTATAAAGCTTGACCCCTAAACTATAAACGTTTATAGTTTAGCCGCTAAACTATAAAGGTTTGCTCCTAAACTATAGAAGCGTTTATAGTTTAGGACCATCCGTGGGGGGTCCCCCAGGATTGGCCTGGACCGAGCTTCAAAATGCGATTTTTTAGTACAGAAATCGATGCCGGAAATGCTGCCTCCAATTTCTGGAATTTGCCCTAAACTATAGAGCCCCAAACTCTAGAGCCTAAACTATAGACGTTTATAGTTTCGGCGCTAAACTATAAAGCCTGACCCCTAAACTATAAACGTTTATAGTTTAGGCGCTAAACTATAAAGGTTGGCTCCTAAACTATAGAACCGTTTATAGTTTAGGACCATCCGTGGGGGGTCCCCCAGGATTGGCCTGGACCGAGCTTCAAAATGCGATTTTTTAGTACAGAAATCGATGCCGGAAATGCTGCCTCCAATTTCTGGATTTGGCCCTAAACTATAGAGCCCCAAACTCTAGAGCCTAAACTATAAACGTTTATAGTTTCGGCGCTAAACTATAAAGCTTGACCCCTAAACTATAAACGTTTATAGTTTAGCCGCTAAACTATAAAGGTTGGCTCCTAAACTTTTGAAGCGTTTATAGTTTAGGACCATCCGTGGGGGGTCCCCCAGGATTGGCCTGGACCGAGCTTCAAAATGCGATTTTTTTAGTACAGAAATCGATGCCGGAAATGCTGCCTCCAATTTCTGGATTTTGCCCTAAACTATAGAGCCCCAAACTGTGGAGCCTAAACTATAAACGTCTTTGGTTTCGGCGCTAAACTATAAAGCCTGACTCCTAAACTATAGACGTTTATAGTTTAGCCGCTAAACTATAAAGCCTAAACTATAAAGCCCTAAACTATAGACGCTAAACAATAAACGTCTATAGTTTAGAGCCAAAACTATAGAGCCTAAACTATAAACGTTTATAGTTTAGACGCAAAACTATAGAAATCTTTATAGTTTAACCGTGATTTCGGGCAGGTTTTGGGGTATATATATAATATATTGTCAGTACTGACACCGCTCCACTGCCTAGCGGTGGCACGGCACGCTCTCTGGTAAGACAGTTGAACTGCTGTATAAGCATATTGTATGTGCGATGCCCATGCAGCCACTTGCTTTGGGCGGCTCGGCTGGTGGGAAAGGAGCGAAGCTCCCCCACCAGCCACGCCTGAGTTTAGGGTTTAGGGTTTAGGGTTTAGGGTTTAGGGTTTAGGGTTTAGGGTTTAGGGTTTAGGGTTTGGGGTTTGGGGTTTAGGGTTTAGGGGGGTTTGGGGTTTAGGGTTTAGGGTTTAGGGTTTAGGGTTTAGGGTTTAGGGTTTAGGGTTTAGGGTTTAGGGTTTGCGCCGAAGCTGGAGAAGGATATGACATGGCCGGACGGGCGAACAAACTTGAAATTTGTTTCGGTTCCGGAGCACGCTCAAGGCCACCGAGAATGGGGCCTTGCTTCGGCCACATCATTTCACGCGTTTCCCTCCCGCGCCGTCAAGTGCGGCTCCCACCCTTAGCCAGCTCCGCCTTTTAGGGTTTAGTTTCCTAAACTCATGTTTAGGAAACTCTCTTGTTTTTTCTCACTCACCTTCTTGTATGCGTTCTTGTCGGGGTGTATTACACCCTAGTCAAAGTTGCTTGTTTGTTCCACCGCGATCTTAGTCCTCTTGCAGCCTGCTAGTCTTGCAGGGGGGTCAACCGGAGGTTTTGCGCCCGGGGGAAAGAGACCGATGGTTGACCGTAGCTTTAAGCATGGTGCTCAGATCACAAAGAAAACCGAAGAGCATGTTTGGGTCGAACGGAGGTTTCTGCCCGGGGGAAGACATCGGTGGTTGACCGTAGCTTTCGAGCCCGGCACTTGTACTATATCAATCCACAGGTGGGTCGACCGCGAGTTGATTGGAGGTTCTGCTGTCAGAGGAGGACGTCGCTTGTTAGACGTAGCTCTTGAGCACCGTACTTGTGCTCTATCAGCATGTAAATCCGCGATGCTTTTTTTTTGGGTCGACCGGAGGTTTTGCCAGCAGGGAGGTTTCATGCCCGGGGGAAAGACCGTTGCGTTGATTGGAGGTTTTGCGCCCGGGAGAAAAACATCGGCGGGGGAAAGGCAGCGTTTAAGCACCGTCCTGGCACGACACCAAAGGCAGGTATTAAGCCCGGTACTTGTGCTATATCAGGATACAGATCCGAGGTGCTGTCGGGGGAAAGACATCACTGGTTGGATGTAGCTTTTGAGCACCGTTCTCGTGCTCTATCAACATATGAATCGCGAAGCCATTTGGGCCCACCGGAGGTTTTGCGCCCGGGGGAAAGACCGTTGCATTGATTGGAGGTTTTGCGCCCGAGGGAAAGCCATCTTTGAATTGATTGGAGGCTTTACGCCTCCTGTAGATCCGTGAAGCATTTCTGTGTCGATTGGAGGTTTTGCGAGCATGGAAAGACCGGAGGTTTTGCGTCCCGGGGGAAAACCGTTTATTGATTGGAGGTTTTGCGCCCGGGGGGAAAAACATCGGCGGCGGCTGACCGTAGCTAGTGATTCCACCCTGCTTCCACCTTGCTTCCAGCTCGCTTCCACGTTGCTTGCACTTTGCTTCCACCTTGCTTCCACCTTGCTTCTACCGTTCTTCAACCTTGCTTCCATCTTGCTGCCACCTTGCTTCCACCTTGTTTCCACTTGCTTCCACCTTCCTTGCGCGTTGCCTCCACCTTGTTTATGACTTAGCATGGCTTAGCCAAAGTCCGAAAATCCGCGTGGGGTACCGTTTACAGTTCAAGTGCCAAACTATAGAAAGTGGCCCCTAAATTATAGACGCTTATAGTTTAAACAAAGTCCGAAAATCCGCGTGGGGGTAGCGTTTGCAGTTTAGGTGCCAAACTGTAGAAAGTGGCCCCAAACTTTCGACGTTTATAGTTTAGCCAAAGTCCGAAAATCCGCGTGGGGGTACCATATATAGTTTAGGTGCCGAACTATAGAAAGTGGCCCCTGAACTATAGACGTTTATAGTTTAGCCAAAGTCCGAAAACCCGTGTGGGGGTAACGTTTACAGTTTAGGTGCCAAACTATAGAAAGTGCCCCAAACTTTCAACGTTTATAGTGTAGCCACAGTCGAAAATCCGCGCGGGGGTACCATTTATAGTGTAAGTGCCGAACAATAGAAAGTCGCCCCTAAGCTATAAACGTTTATAGTTTAGCCAAAGTCCGAAAATCCGCGCGGTGGTACCGCTCACAGTTTGAAAGTGCCC